TCCTACTTCTGTAGTGATACTGCCTCAGAAACCCAAGGAGGGGTCGCTATGAGTCGGGGCCGACTCGATGGCAAATAACAACAACAACAACGTCTACTGAGCACATATTTTATGTCAAGCGTTGTTCCAGGGAATTTACAAGCATCACTTAATACACTCTGTAAGCATTTGGAGAGTGGGACTGGAGGTTGTGGTCCAGGGTTACCGAATGACTACTGTTTTTCTTTCTTTCTTTCAATAATCTTATTTTTTATTGATTTTGAGAATATACAGCAAAACATACACCAATTCACCAGTTTCTACCTGTATAACTTAGAACACTGAATACATTCTTCTAGTTGTATAACCATCACTACCCTTCTCACCCTCCTTTTGTGAGTTGTTGTCCCTAATTAACATAAACGCACTGCCCCCTAACGTTCCTATTTAATCTTTTGATTTGCTGCTGTCAATTTGATCCCATAGAGATAGTTCTTAAAAGGGCATAAAGCTAACCTATTATTTGGTCTTAAGATGACGTCAGGGGATATTTTTGGTTTAAGGTTTAAACATTATCTCAGGGCCATAGTTTCAGGGGCTCATCTAACCTTCATGGCTCCAGGAAGTCTGGAGTCCATGAAAATGTAAAATTCTGTTCTGTCCTTTCCCCCTTTTGATCTGGATTCTCCTATGGAAAATTTGATGAAAATGCTCAGTAATGGTAGCCAGGCACTATCCAGTCCTTTTCATCTCATGGCAAAGGAAGCAGTTATCATGGAGGCAATTAGCCACACATTCCACATCCTCCTCCTATTCCTGACTCTTCATCTGTTGTTCCAGGAGAATGAGATCAAGTGCCGTGCCTCAGATGGACACTTGCCAGCTTTTCAGACCCCAGTGCCTAACGTTTTTCATGATTCTGTTGCCTTAAAGGCTTGTCATGGGCTTACATGATGGGTGGCTGCCCTGCAAGCTGGACTCATCTTAAGAGCCTGGGAGTCTTGCATACTCTTGTCAGGGGCACAGGGCCAGGCCAATCTGACCGGTCATCCCAACAGGACAAGGTGCCTGAAGTCACTCAGCATAGGCTGGCTGGGGGTGGGCATCTCAACTCCCTACGGCCAGATTGTCAGCCTCAAGACCAGTACCTCCAGGGCTCCAGGATAGGCACTGTGTGTGACATGTGGTACCTTTGCAGCATACAGTCCCTCTTTGTAGGAAAAGAAATTCAGCTTGTAGTCCTTCTTTGAGGCAGACAGTACATCAATGTAATCGAGGCCCTTGAGGGTGATGCTCAGGTCCGGCTTCTCTGGTTTCGTCATTTCCACAATGACCCGGAATCTGGGGAACACAAGGGCGTGTGGAGAGAGGACAGAGAAAATGAGACCACGTTCCCAAAGGAGAGCTGCAAAGTGCTCTCTGCCCTTCATTTTATGGAAAGCATGTGGGGTCCAGGGTTCCAGTCTTCACTCGTTACAACAGTAACTAACATTTCTTCACTGCCAGTTGTGTGTTTTGCATGTGTTATAGGCATTTACTTCTTGTAGTGACTGTGAAAAGGACGTATCACTACCACCCCCATTTTACTGATGAGGAAATAGAGTCCAAGAAAAGTGTGATAATGTGCTCAGGTAACACGACTAGTAACTGGCAGCACTGGGCTCCAGGTCTGGGCTTCCGTCCACTATGCTAAGCAGGTGGGATTCAGCAAGTTGCGCCTCTTGTCCAGGCTCTGGCTCCTCCCGTGTAACACAAGGGACCAGGCTGCTTGGCCTTAAGCTCCTCCAGTCTGCTCCATTCTGCTCTACTCTCGCGTAAGGACAAGATCTAAGGGACAGCCTTCTCTTGCCAGTGGCTGAGAAGAAAAGACAGAGCACTCCATGATAACAGTGATGTCTCATTATTTATGATAATAATAACAACAGCTAACGTTTACTGAGCACGTATTTTGTGTCAAGCATTGTTCAGGAAATTTACAAGGAATCACTTAATGCACAGATTGCACTGAACGGGAGAATCTCTCTGGAGGCTTGGAGTTGAGGCTGTGCCTGGCCACAGGGAACTATGTCTCTGATTCCTCAAACCCTCCTGACCCCCACAATGACCTCTAGAGGCCCTGACCAGGGGAGGGGCCAGGTAGACAGTGGAAGTCCTTCCTCCACTCCCCACCCCCGGCACTCAACCCCTTCCCTTACTCACTCACCTTTGGGGCTTGTTCAGCCAGTTGGTGATTGGCAGGAGCTCAGTGTAGTGTGTCTTACAAGGCACTTCACGGTAGATATTGGCCACAGCTTTGGGGAGTTCAGAAGTGCCATGCAGAGCATACAGCCAGCCAGTCCCATCTGGGAGGGGAAAGAAGAGGGTCCCCTAAGGGGCAGAAAAATGTGATGAGAATGGCATAGAAGGTCCTTTATTAGAGTCTCTCATTGTGGGGGTGATGCAGGATTAGTAGAAGCTTTGCAAACAAATGCATCACTTTTAGAAAGCAAGCTGGCAATTTGTTTCAAGGTCATAAAACTGCTCACATATGTTTGGACCAGGAATCCCACTCCAAGGCGCTTACTGAAGAAAACACCCTCCTCTGGTAATGTAGTGCCTAAGGCACTTGACTGCTAACCAGAAAGCTGGCAGTTCAAACCCACCAGCCACTCCTGGGAAGGAAGGTGGGGCAATCTACTTCGATAGTGATCCTGTCTCAGAAACCCAAGGAGGGGTTGCTATGAGTTGGATCTGACTCGTAACAACATGAGTTGGAGGGCACATAACAACAACAACAACAACAACAGGGAAAAGGTATCTGTGTGTACATATTTACTGTAGAACCACTTATAAAATCGATGAGAATCTGAAGTAAATGAAGCATTTAGCAGCAGGGGAATGTTAGATACACTAGGGCACCCCCACCCAGTGAAATACTATGTGGTCATTAAAAATGGTTATTGTGCAGCTCATATAGGTGGAAAAATGCTCACGATATAATCTTAAGTGAAAATTAAAAACCAGAACACAAATGCTATATGGGTGTGCTATATATACAGGGAGGAAGTGGGAAGAGTGCTGTACACTGTGGGCACTGCGACCCACGTCACAAAACAAGATGTGTGTGGATCATTGACTGGAAAACCAATTTCCTCTATAAGCTTTTACCTATGTCACCAAAGACAGTTACAAAAGACTAAAACTGGATATTACAGCTAAGATTACAGCTATGGCTGCATGTGAAGAAGGACTGAGAGTGGAAGTAGAAAAAGAATGGCTCATTTTTTATGGGCTTCTTTTCTTTCTGGATTTTTATTGTAGTCATCGTAACGTTATTTGTGCAATGAAGCTAACTATGAACTGTTGATGCTTGGTGCAGGATTCCGTTTCGGAACGGGGCCCTGGCTCCGAAAGAATCCCTCCTGCGTGAAAACGTTTGGGAAAACGGAAGCTGGGGCTTGATTATCTGCACGCTTCCCCACTGATGCGACGTGATCTGTAGGCTCCCCCTGATTCTGACTCTCTCTGGGCTCAAACACACATAGTTCCTGCCCTTCAGCTGGGCCAGAGAACCCAGGGGGAGGCCCCAACCCACCTGATGCTTGCGATTTTCCACGTTCATTGTGCGTGGCCTGTAGGTGATCTCGTAGGGCTTGTTCTGCTGATGGGCCTCCAGGGTGATAAACTCAGGCCCCTCCCAGTGCTCACCCTCAAAGATGGGGTGCAGATTCCAGGTCTGGTTGGTGCGGTTGGAAAGGAGGATGGTCTGTGTATGCTTGGAGCGCACCTGGCAGGTGAAATTCACCACCTGGAAGAGAGTGGGTACCTCACCTTCCACCTCACCACACCTCTCCCTGGTCTCCCTTCAGGGGCCAGAGACGCAGGGCAGGGGCTATGGAGGACTGATGTCAGCCAAGTGTCTGATCAGGAGTTTCACTTGATAATTTTCTTTCTCTTAACCTCGTTCAGTAATTGTCTATTGGGCATTTTCTGTTTGCAATGAATTTTTCTCAGTGGTAAAAGACAACAGAGAACAAAATAATAAAATATCCCTATCCTCACAGAGCTTGTATTCTAGCAGGTAAGACAGATAATAGACAAGTAAGCAGCATGTCGACAGGAATAAATACTGTGGAAACAAGTAAAGCCAGACAGGGCTATCGGGCATACCAGACCGGGAAATGAGTATGCGATTTTAAACAGGGTGATGCCTCACTGAGAAGATGTATTTGGTTAAAGACCAAGAGGATGAAGTCATGAGATATCTGGAGGAAGATGGTACCAAGCAAAGGAAACAGCCATTGCAAAGGTCCCGAATTTGGACCAATGGCAAGAAGCCAGTGTGGCAGATATGAATGGAGTGTGGGGGAGATAAGCAACAGGGAATGCCAGCATGTAGGGCCTCGTGGGTCATGGTAAGGGGTTTGTTTTTCCTTCTGTCAGGATTTAATCTGGATACTGTGTGAGGACAACAGACATGAGGGGACAGAAGAAGAGAGACCAGTGAGAAGATACTTAAAATAGGCCAGGTCAGAGGTGGCATGGACTGGCGTGGACCAGCATGGAACAGTGTGGACCAGCAGCACTGGTAGCAGCAGAGATGGTGGGCAGTGGATAGATTCCAGTTGTATTTTGAAAAGCCAGTTGGATTTACTGATGTACTGAATCTTAGGTTTAAGTGAAAGAAGATTTGAGGATGACTCCCAACAATTTTAACTTGAGCAACTATAACGATAGAGTTGTTACTTAATGAGGTAGGGTTGACTGTGGAAGGAAGGGACTTTGGTGAGAGACCTGGAGCTCAGGTCTGGGCATCTTAAGTGTAAGATGCTAATTAGAGACCAAGTGCAGACATCAAGCAGGCAGTGGGCTTTATAAATCTGGAGTTCAAGGGACAGGTTCAGGCTGAAGATGCAGACTTGGGAGCTGTCAGTCTAGCCATATTTTTTAAGGGTCAAGAAACTAGATTTCATCAGGAAGTGAGTGTACTTAGAAAAAAAGAAGACATGTAAGCATTAATTCCTGGCTGGTGTACTTCAGTGTTAGGGAAAATCAGGAGATAAGAAGGAGCAGCTGATGAGGCAGGAGGAAAACCAGAAGAAGGTGGTACCCTGGAAGCCCAGCAAAGAAGGGACTTCAAGGAAGAGGGACTGATTCGTGGTACAAAAAGCTATTGACAGTTCAAGTAAGATGGGGAGTGAGGACTGACCATTCTACTCTTAGACATTTAACCCAGATAAATAAAAGCATATGTCCTTACAGAGACTTGTACAAACATGTTCATAGCACATTGTATGATTCCATTTATGCAATGTTCTTGAAATAACAAAATTATAGAGCTGGAAATCAAATGTCAGGTTTACCCTAAGCAATGATGCCAGGTAGTCCACTGTCAAGTTTCTAGGAATAAGGTTAGCAGAGGGTTAACTCAGTCATTTCCACCACCACCCGTGCCTCAATAACGGAAGAGAAAGGTATCAACTCCTTACTCACAGAGTTTATAGTGGAATTTGATTTAGCCAGGCAAGTCAGTGCAGGCTTCCTTGAGAATGTAACACGCAAACTGAGAGCTAAAGCATGAACATGAATTAACTGAATAAAGGAGGGAAAAAGAATATTCTAGCAGCTGTAATAGCATGTACAAAGGCTCTGTGGTGGGAAGGAGCAGGTGTAATGTTTGACACAGGCCCAGAGGATTGTGTGGACAGAGCCACTTGTCTCTAGGAGGCTAGGCTGAGTTCTAGGAAGGAGAGGTGCTATTGGGCTCACTCTGGCCACTAGCCTGTTCCTGGACATCAATTGCTAACCTCTTTTACTGCAGGTAGTCCCACACAGACTCCAGACAGGGTGAGGGTCAGAGGACTGCCTCCCTGGATGAAGCAGAGCATGTTTCTATAGAGACTCTCTTTGCCCACCTCCGTGGGGTGGTAAGTCACGTCAAAAGAAACTTCCATGCCCGCGGTGATATAGCCTTCTTCCGGGGTGATGGAGAAATGAGGCTCAAATTTTCTGGCATCCCATTTAAACCTTTTTGAAGACAAAAGAAGATAAGTCAGGCAGTTTATCACTATCCCGAGGGTGTCCTCAATCATATTGAGAACAAGAGGCTTTGCCTGGGCTCTGAGCTAGGTGAGTTACCTTCCTGAGGTGCTCCCTGGGACCTTGGAGGAAGAAGACTCTGCCGGGCAGAGCAGAGGTAGAGGGACCACGGACCAAGATCATTTCCCGTGTCAATCAATTCAGCTCCATCTCAGAGCTGTGGCATGGATGCTAAGTGTCTGCACCTCACTCATCACCCTGAATAGCTAAATCCCACAAATGACTCATCGGGAACATACAGAAGGACATGTATTCACTAGGTCACATAGCTAGTAAGTGGCCGGACTGCTAAGACTGAAGCCCTCCTGAGACCATGACCTGCCACTCCCTGCACTGCCTCTGAGGGCAGGTCTACAGGGATGGAGACATCCCTTCATCTGAGACCCATGGCTGTTCTTTGGGATGGGCCTGCTGTGGTGTGGTGGTTGGTCCAGCAGGAGACAGAGGTGGACAGTGAGGCCAGTGCTTCCAGCACCAGGGCTGTCACGTTGCCCCCCTCCAGGGCCCGCTGACACTGAGGTCTGGGTAGAGTGTTCCCTGGAGGGGTGTGGGGCACGGCCTGTGTGGCTCCGTCAGCATGGCCGAGCAGTAACTGGGGCAGGCACCTGCCCAGCAGGAGACAAGAACTTGGGAAGGAAAGCCGCAAGGATCTGCCTGGGTCCCAATCCTGTCTTTTTATTTCCTGGGTGTGTGACCTTGGGTAAGTCACCTCATCTCTCTGAATCTCAACTTCATCTGTGAAATGGAGACAATACAGTATATAATTTAGAGGGCTCTGTGATAATGAAGTGGATATTATATGCAAAAATGTTCAGCATTATACTTGCACATAGTAAGTACTTGCTAAATGTATCATCTCAGAACTGTTAACTTCTTTGTACCTCAGTTTCCTTGTGTGTAAAATGGGTTAGTATTAGGATCAATCTCGACGTTATGGTTGGGATTAAACATGCAAGGCCTTATTACAACAGGGCCTGGCATAAAGCAGCCACTAAGAAAAGTGTTCTCTATCACATTAGTTTTAATAACCGTCCTGGTAAGGCCACCACTGTCACACTTGAGAGATGGGATTGTAGACATGGAAGGAGAGGAAGGAAAGAAAACAAGGCTGTACTTGTAGGACAAGTGTCCAGACCAGGTGAAATCCAGGCACAGATGTCTCTCCAGCCTGGGCTGGGGCATCGCTCTCCTACCTGGCACCCACGTCGCCCGTGTTCAGCATGAGGATACGGCGTGTGGCTTGTGTCTGGTACACGACGGGTCCGAAGGGAAGATGCTCCTGGTCCAGGGAGATCTCCAGGGCCTGGCAGCAGCCGCTGAGGAGGAACAGGGGGCGCAGGAGCCCCATGACTTCCAGGAACACCTCCTCGGAGAAGGGAGGGACACGCTTCTTCGGAGCAAAGACCACTTCCAGCTTCACGACTTCTTTGGGCTTTAGACTGATGTTGCTGAAGGGCGTCAAGGTGATTACCTGGACAGAAGGACAGACAACCAGACCTGGAAGATGAGGTATGTCTTGCTGCTGGGCTGTCACAGCCCAGGGTCCAATCCCCACCTGCTCTCCCGTGAGCTGTGCAATTGTGGGGAAGTTGCTAGGCTTTCTGAGCCTGTTCCCTCGCCTGCCCACTAGGGCAGCACCCCTGACTTCTACCACGGTGGACATCAGGATCAGCCCCACAAAATGCGTGGGACACAGCAGGCACTTGATAACTGCTAAGTCCCTCCCTTACTCCCCTTCTAGACGTTTTGGGCAGCTGGATGTCTCTTGTATTCGTAACAGGAGAACTTTCAGTTCTTCCTTCTGACTCCCTTGGGGAGGAAATAGTAACTGGAAATAGAAAACATTCAGCACTCTAGTGTTTCTCCAGGTGTGACCCTGGGTGACTGCAGCAGGCTTCCCTGAGCTTGTTAAAATACAGATTCCTGGGCCCTGCTCCAAGCCGAGTGAATCAGAATCTCCTTGGGAGATGCTCAGAACCTGTGTTTTCAAAAGTGCCCAGAGACTCTAGTTTGAGAGCCACTGCTGAATTTCTATGCCCTTTTCTTTCTTAGTCCTGGTAAAAATCAAATCAACATCAACTGTAAGGAAGCCAACAATTCCTTTATCTTTAAGTCCTCTTTGGCTCAGAGCAGAGTGGTCAACATCATGCCAAGACCATTTTTATTCTCCTAGAATCTAGATTTCTGGGTTTATGGAATTGGAGTAACCCACTCCATTGGCCTTAGGGGTCCTGGAAGAAACCAGTTCCCTGGAGTCACCTTCAGGTCAAACAAAATCCTAGTAAGCAGCTGAATGGAGACCATTTGGCCTTAAGCATTGGGCTCTTTTGGAAATGACCTATGTGCAGCCAGCTTGGAGAAGTAGGAACTCCAGGCTCTGGTGAGAGGCTGTGTTTTAGTATGGACGGTGTGCCCCTGGTGATTCTGTTTCTGGAACTGATGGACCCTGAAATCCTACTGGTGCTTTGATGTTACCTTCTGAGAAGTTAACCACAATGCCCTACATAAGCCACTCTCACTGTCCCCTTTTCAGAGTGCCTTCCCCGTATAAGATGCTGCCTGATTCAAATCATATCTAGTCACAATAAATGTGTTCTGTTACACTCATTTTTTTTTTTATTAGGATTTGGGTGAAGATTTACAGAGTAAATTCACTTTTCATACAGCAGTTCACATATACTTTGTCTCATGTCATTGACCAAAATTTACAATGCAGCAGCTCCCCTCCCACTTCCTCCCCATAGTTACCTCCTCCCAGTGTCCATCCCTTCATACTCTTCTGCACCCTGAGCTATCTCCCTGTGCATAAGCAGCCCTTCCTTCTCCCATGATTGTTCTCTCTAGGGCGTGTGTCAACTTGAGGTAAATGTTTAACTCACATGCCTGTACTTTGTTTGGCTGGAAACCACAGTTGTGGGTTCAATTCCAGACCTGAAGGGCAGCTAGGGGCTATAGTCTCAGTGGTTACATCAGGCTCCATTGGACCAGCAAACCTGGTCCCCACCTTCTTCTTTTTTTTTGCCTCCAAATGATTTTGAGTTTTGTACCACATTGTTCTCCCTCTTTATGCAGGATCTCCTACATCCCTTCCAAGTGGATGGCAGTGGTAGCTGGGCACCATCTAGTTCTTCTGGTCTCATAGTTGTTACACTCATTTTTAGGCTTTCTCTAAGCATTTAGGTTTTTGACAATCCAGTGGAGAGTGGCAGCTGAGAGTGAGGGAAGTGAGGCTGAGAAGCTGAGAAGGAAAGAGATGTCCACTGTTCTCCAGTGTAATGATGTTGGAAGCTGACTCCAGGATGGCGGTGCCAGGACAGGGCACTCCGGCAGCTTTAATCTGATCATCTAAAGAGGCAGCATTGGCAAGGCCAATCAGTGAGGGCTCCTGGCTCGCTGAAGCCAAGGACTTTCATCTGAATCAATGAGGGAAGGGAATTTACAAGTTTGCTCTCCTCTGCATAGCCAAGTGGGCAACATGGGCCCTGAGATGAGGCGCCCCCGAGTCTCTGGCGTTGGCCGGCCCCTTGAAGCCAATTCTTCTGTATCCCGAAATCCCCAGATGGCTCCCAGTGCCCCTGCCGGACTGGACCACATGAGTTCTTGAAGAGCACTGGACCCTTCTAAGCCTACATACCTTTGCCTGGCAGAATGCCCTGCCCCAACCTGTCTGCCTAGGAGATACCTTTCCGTCACGTGAGACCCAGCGCAGTCCTCTCTCTACTGTGAGGCCTTCCATGCCCCCCGAGCCCTCCTCCCAGACCCATGCCTGCCCCACTGCTCCTCTGAGCAGCCCTGCTCCCGATCGACACCCTGTCCATACGTCCTTGTGCTGTCCTGGGGTTCCTTATGCGTCTGTGACTCCAAACCACTGTGACCTCCACGAGGCCAGCCTCTACATCATATTCATCTTAATATTCCCAGCACCTGGCACATACTTATTCAGTAAGTGCAAGAGTGAAATGAGTGAAGGAACGGCTACAGTTTTCCTGCTTTGGAAAGAAATGCATCCAGACCATTGTCAAATGGCCACCTGGATGGACATGGATGACTTAAGATGGGTGGCAGGTAGCCAGGCCACAGCATCTCTATCCAGGGAACTTAAGGAGGTGGACTCAGCAACAAGCACAGTGCTCTCGCTGCTGGTGGCAGTGGAAATGGGGATGTTGGCGATGTGCGTTGGAAAACGCTCCATGTGACCCACAAGCCCACTGTTAGGAATGTGTCTGGCACAGAGTCATGGATACACACAAAGGCTCAGATACATGGATATTACAATGCTGCTGTAACATAAAAAGAAGAAAACACATGAAGTGGTCAGAAACAGAGAATTGGTCCATGTCCGTAATGGAGCTATACGAGAACAAATGACATTTAACGATATGGAGAATGTGTAAGAAACATTGCTAGATTACAAGAGTAGTTTTTAAAACGATACAGATATTATAAGTGTATTTTTATAAAACAAACCAAAAGCATAATAAAGATACTAGTAAGATAGGCCCAAAATGTTAAAGTGGTTATTCTGGGTGTGGGAATTAAAGGCAGCTTTTTTTTTTTTTTCTTCTATGGTAGCATAGTGCCTAAGGCACTTGACTGGTAACCAGAAGGCTGGCGGTTCAAACCCACCAGCCACTACTCAGAAGGAAGATGGGGCACTCTACTTCCGTAGTGATACTGCTTCGGAAACCCTAGGAGGGGTCGCTGAGTCAGGTCTGACTCGATGGCATATAACAACACAACAACGTGATTTTCTGTATTTTCAAATTTTCTACAAAAAGGATACATATTCAGTGGAGCCCTATCTACTGAATCCCATCCAGTTCAGTTCTCTTCCCACCTCCTTTTGCTACCTTTTAGAAGTACAGCTGAGCCTCAGCTTCCTTGGATGTGAAATGAGAGTAATGAACGCACTAACCCCATACTGCTTTTGTGAAGGTTAACAGAGACAGCTCCTGGGAAGCTCCTGGAATGGTCTGGCACACTGTTGGTGTACCATGTGAGCTGTTAGCCATCCTTATCATCACAAGCATGCAGAGGCCACTGGGAGGCCAGGCACTGACCTTGGGTTCCTGAAGCTCTGGAATCGAGAACAGGACTGACTGGTTAAATGTGAGCTGGGTGAGGCTGTTGTTCATGATGGAAACCGTCTTTTTCACAACCTGTCCTGGCAGAACAGCTCCTAACTTCACAATCCTATTGGGTGGATCTAGGACTAAAATCTGTGGGACGAGAGAAAAAGCAGGAAAACAGGATTAATTAGTTCATGAGAAAAATAAAAAAATATCATCCTGTATCCGCCCTCGTATGGTAGTTAAATTGTGTGTCAACTTGGCTGGGCCTGGTTTTGAGCAGCGGGGCAGCTGGATGTAGTTATTCCCTGTGAGGAGACTGGTAATCAACTCCACGGTAGAACCTACTGGAGCGGCTGAGTAGCTGCCTTAGGGCTGTGCTCTGCTTGCAGTATATAAGCAGCAGCAGTGAAAAAGGTCTCTGGAGCTTTTTGGCACATCTGAGTCCTGCATTTGGCTGAGTCTTCATTTCAGTAGACTGCCACATTATCTACTGATCTTGAGACTATTTCTGGTCTTGAACTAGTGGCCTGCCATGTTGCGTGATATTCTTTGGACGATGCCATTTTATTTGTTGACCTTGGGTTTACCAGCCTTGGCAGACAGCAGCTGTTAGAGTTAAGAGAAGCCTCCAGCTTCAATGGGCCAGGAGCAAGAGGCAGAGCGGAAGCCTAAGGTGGATGGGCCTTCACCCAGCCCCTAGAGCTGGCACTCTGACTTTGGACTTCTAGCCTCCCAAATTGTAACAGAAGAAAGCCCTGTTTGTTGAAGCCACCTATTTGTGGTACTTTCTGTTAGAGAAGCACTACAGAACCAAAACACCTGGTGAGGAAGGGTGGTTCCCTCCCTTTCAGTGCCTGCTTTTTCATCATGGAGTTGATTTTCACTTGTGGTGACCCCACATGTCAGGGCTGAACTGTGCTGTATAGGGTTTTCAAAGGCCGATTTTTCAGAAGTAGCTTTTCAGGTCTGTCAGCCTTTTTCCTATCTGATGGGCATTCACTCACTCGAAACACATTTCTGTGGGTAGAACATCCACTAGGCAACTGTTACACAATTAAATAATTACAACTGGGTTAAGAGATATGAAGGAAAAGCCCAGGGTACTTTGACACTACACTGCAGAGGACTGCAGCCTCGGGAGTTAGGGGAGGGTTTCCCAAGGAGGCCGTGTGTACAACGATTGTCAAAGGAAGGGTAGAATGTACTCCGTTTGAGTGGGGGGACTGTAAGGTGGGTGAACCCTCCAGGGAGAAGAACAGCTTGTGGCAAGGTCCTGAGCTGGAGGGAAAGGCCAGTCAAGGTCTGAGGCTGGGATCTAGGGGAGATGAGAGAAGATGAGTTTGGAGAGGGAGGCAGCCGTCTTGTAGGCCGTTGGGGTTGGGGGAGTTTGGGCCTTATTCTAGGAGAAATGGGAAGGCAATGAAGTCTGAGTGATCCAATCAAAAGGTGCATTTTGTGGGAATGCTCTGGCTTGCTCCTCTGTGGAGAATACACAGAAGAGGAGAAGAGGGGAAGCCATGAGGTGATGACAGTGATCTGGGCTGGAGCTGGGGCAGTCGATGAGGGGAGGACTGGATGTGCCTCCGCACTGATTTATTTTTATTTTTGCAGTGTTCTCTCTCCTCCCCTCCTACTGCTGATAACCAGCAAAGAAAGCTGTCCATATACAAACCTTTCCTTGATTATTTACAATACCAAGCACTGATTTAAATGTTGGCCTGGATCAGACCAAGGTCAAGCTGCGCCTTGCCCTCAGGGTGGTATTGACCTACAATGAGCAGTCACCACAGATCACTAAACTGTACTCTCCCCTCCAACTATCTTTAAGTCCACCTCACATGTTTCCATTTGGTCTAAAGTAGCAGGAGTATCTTCCTCACCAGCCTGTGAGGTGGTGAGCACATATTTAAGTCACTGCTGGATCTTTCCAAAGTATCCAACTCTCAATGAGTGTTGAATGAATGAATGAACAAATGAATGAATGCTATCAGGAAAGAGCCTATCTCTGGCTTGGATCCAGACACCCTGATGCTTACCATCTCCAAAGCTGCTCCTACGGCTTGATGGGAAGCCTGCCCCTCTCCCATTTTCTCTTGGTTGCTGAAATGTTCCATTCATTTCTAAACATCTTGGAAAGTTTGTAGACCTTCCCAAATCCCCCATTAAAATGCAAATACCCCCACCAGATATGACAGCTTGAATGTTTACCAGACTGTTGGAAAAAAGGTGTTAGCAGCAAGACTGCCCACTCCCTCTCTACTGGGGGCTCCTGGGTGGAAGAAATGACCTTAATCAAATATAAACCCAGCATTTGTTGCTGGCTGAGAATGTTATTCAATGGAGTGTGAAGAAAAGATGTTTTATAACTGAAACATGTCTCCCTGCATATGTTGCTTAAAACAAAATGTGTCCTAACGTGGGAGGAAAGGACCTTCTTCAGATGCTGCATCCGTTGGCCTCAGATTCCTCCATGAAGAGTATTTCCCCAGTGCCTGTGGCTACCTGTATCCCTTGAATTATCAGTCAAGTCTGAAATAGGATGAGCTCTCGGAGTCACCTGAGTCGGATTTGACATCTCGCCCCTTTGTGCCATTACAGATACCACCTCAGTGGGACTGGTTGGCCTCCCGTACAGCAGCCTGGGAGCAGACATGCAGAGGGGAGAAGGGTGGCTGGAAGGGCAGCGAGGAGGGTGTCAAGCTCGAGGACCTTCCAAACGCCCCTTACCTTCATTTCGGTGCCTTTCCCTTTAATTTCAACGATTTGTTGTGAAAGCCCATTTATCTCAAAGGGGATGAGTTCTCGATAACTGATACTTTCTCGAGGATAGAAGGTGATTGGAATCATCAGTGTCTTTCCTGGCTTTATCACGTCAACGTGGAAGTTCACCTCGAGATGGCTGGTGTTGGTGTACAAGCAATCTAAGCTAGAGAGAACCAACAGGCAGGGGCATGAATTCTGAGAAGCCCGACCCAAAAGGATTCCTTCCCCCTGCCTGTCTGCCAGACCTGGGCACCGGTGGATGTCCTGCCATCTGCTGGAGTCATAGGATTGGGAAGCTGGAAGGGACCTCAGAAATGCTCCGCCTTCTCCTAGCCACAGTCAAATGGTCCTAAGTCACACTCTGTATCCTGGCAGCTGGGCTTTGAACCTAAGTCTCACGATGCTTTTCCCTGTGCTCTTTTTCTGCTACTGATCTGTCTCTTGAGAATCAGCTTGTGGGTCTGCACCCTCTCATAACAAGGAAGTGCTTCCAGAAGCAAGTAGGTGGCAAAGCATGGAGGAGTGTGTTCTGGAGTCAGGCACGACTTTGATCCAGGCTCGACCACCAACTAGCTATATGGCCCTGGAGCAGCTACTTAGCTCATTTCAGCCTCTCATCTATAAAGTGGGGGTGGTGGTAGCTACCTCATAGGGTTGTTGTGAGGATTAAGTGAGAGGCAGTGACTAAAGCAGTCACTAAGTAGGGCATAGAGGAAACATACCATAAAGGTGAGCTGCTATTATTATAAGATAATGTGATTATTTTAACTACAAGGGATCTTGAAAGAGCACGTCCACCAATCCACCTGTGGGTAGAAAGGCACCTGGACCTCTCCGTTACAACCTGTCTGTATCTGTCTTACAGCATTTACCGAAGGAGTTGAGTGAGGCTAATGAGCAGAACTTAGTGCCTTAAATAAATTAAGACTTAGACTAAACTAAATCATGCAAGAGAGTAGGTAGATAAGATTTTTAATTTTACTTAAAAATTACCTGGTATTTTTGTAGTAATTTAATGTTAAGAATAAAGATAATAAAACAATAGTAGTTAACAATAAGGAGCATTTCCTGAGTCCTGGGCACTTTTCTAGGCGCTCTCTCTAGACAAACTGACTTAATGCTCATAAGAGCCTGGAACAAGAGGTGCCACTATTAGACCCCATTTCAGACAAGGTGGCAATAGCACAGAAAGTTATTTTTTATTTTTTTCCCCAAGATTATATAGTGAGGGAAGGGCTGGTAGTTGAACCTAGACCTGTTCTAACCGGGAGACACATGCATACTTAAGTTAATTAAAACAAAATAAAAAATGCAGCTCTTCAAGGAAGATATAGAGAGGTACATGGAAGTACAGACAACAAAGATGAACTCTTTTGCACACACAGTACTGCATTGTCAGTGAAGGCAAACGTGGACATATGGGTGGATAGATGGGTGGACAGACTGAACTATTAGGTATGTCTATGCAGGGGGGAGTGTGCCCAAGACCATGTATACAGTTGGCAGACAATATTTCTACAAGTGTATTGGTATGTTCTGTAAGAATTCCCAGGTATACAGTAGAGCTGACAAGGGACAAGGTTGTAGTTACTTCTTGGGCACAGCCAGCTACCCAGAAGAAGCAAGTAGTTGGACCTGTGGGCTTGGGACCATAGTCACAGGGGACATCAAACTCAATTGGCATAACATACTACACAAAAAATTGTTCTACTTCCTACTCTGGCGAGTAGTGACTGGGATCTTAAAAGCTTGCAAACAGCCATTAGATGCAATGACAGGTCTCTCCTCATCCAGAGCAAAGAAGAATGAAGGAAACCAAAGATTCATGGAAAAAATTAGTCCAAGTGATTGGTACACCATGTGATCCTCAGCCTATATGACTATGAGACCAGAAGAACTAGATGGTGCTCAGCTACCACTTTCAACCACTCGGAGGGGGATCTATGTAAGAGATCCTGGTTAGGTGGGAGAACAATGTGGAACAAAACTCAAAAACATTAAAAAAAAAAAAAAAAAAGGAAAAAAAAGGGACCAGGTTTGCTGGTCTGATAGAGCCTGATGAAACCACTGAGACCATGGCCCCTAGCTGCTCTTCAGGTCTGGAATTGAACCTACATCTGTGGCTTCCAGCCAAACAAGACAGGCATATGCAGGGGGGAGCACCTGAGGTAGATACACTCCTTGCAGAGAACAGTCATGGGAGAAAGAAGGGCTGTGTATGCACAGGGACATAACTCAGGGGGCAGGAGTACATGGAGGGAAGGACACAGGGAAGAGGTAACTATAGGAAGGAAGTGGAAGGGGAACTGTTGCATCGTGGTAAATTGTGGTCAATGTCGTGAGACAAAGTGTATGTGAACTACAGTATGAAAAGTGAATTTGCTCTGTAAACTTTCACCCAAGTCACAATTAAAAAAAAAATACAGCTCTTCAGTTGCATGAGGCACATTTAAAATATTCCACAACCACACATAGCTACAGACCACCAAACTGGATGGTGCATTATACAATGTTTTCGCAGAATGTTCTACTGCATGAGTGGGCCAGTCCTCAGAGATGCTGCTTCATTAGGTCTGGAACGCGGCTTAGAACCCTGGACTGGAACATTCCACACAGGGTGGTGCTGAGGGGTTGGGTCTGAATGAGGAGGCTTGGGTTCAATATGGAGCTGCCATTTACCGTGAGGTCAGTGGTCTGAGAAGTTTGCTCTTTCATGCCCTGAACCTCAGTTTCCACCTCATGGAGGTAAATGGAAACCATTGAACCTCTTATCGCGTCTTCTGTCATTGCCCTCCCGACTTTAAGGACAGGATTTTTAGTAGAGTAACTCAAGGCCATCCAAGTATTAGAAGTGAGAAAAGGGGACTCAAGATTCATGCTCTTCTCTTTCTCCCAGTCCTCCTGTGTCTGCCTCCACAGGACGTCGGCTGTATGGCGCCACCAGGAGCTGTAGGATCCTCTCGCAGCTCTGTGAAGCCTGCTTACCTCATGGAAGTTTCTTCCTTGTTGGTGACAGCCAGGATCTGTTTGTAGGGGGGCATCCCTGCTTGGTAGATGAAGCAGGTCCCAAAGTTGTAGTTGGTGAAGGAGAAATGCACTGCTGGGCTCACGGAGCAGCCTATGACGCTGCACAGAAACGTGGGGCCGTGGCTGATCTGCGGGGAGAGATGGCGGGCGGAGAGTGACTGGGGGATGTGGAGGAAATAGCTCTAAGTACTCAGGTAAAGGAGGGAGACAGCCAAGTGCTTTAAAATATATGAGTCCCAGGGCTCCGTCCTCAGAGAGCTGAGAGTAGGTCAGAGTACCATTTATTTAAGAAAAGCCCGGCAGGTGGCTCTGCAATCCAATCCTTTCTTGGCTCTGGCTTTGCTCCTGCAGCACTGATCCAACTTGAAGCCTGAGGGGTAAGCCGGACACTGCTAGCTATGACCCAACATCAACTCCCCATGGGTTCCTTACTAACAGCACTCTGATTGGCTGCCAGTATGCCTAGGTGAAAAGACTCGATTTTCCATCCTCACTTGCAGCTAGATGTGGTCATGGGACATAGTTTTGGCCAGGTACTCACCAGGTACCTCAACCAGGCACGAGGCCTTTGTACTAGAGGTAGTGGGACAGATGCCAATGCGACCCCCTGCCAGGAGCTTCTGGCTGAGTGAAGACAAGCAGCACACAGGAGATGTGACCTCTCGAGACAGGAGTGACCTCTTGAGACAGGAGTGACCTCTTGAGACAGGATGTTCTACAGGTTTTCAGTGTTTAAACAACGTTAAATGGTCTCACCTTGATTCTGAGTTCCAGGCCCTTTAGGACGCACTTCTTAAAGGGTTGGAAAGACAGGGTGGCATGTACGCTCTGCCCTACTTCCACAGTGCCATCGACAGGTGAGAATTCCAAGTACTGTAGCAGGGATTTGGAGCCAGACAGCTCCGTCTGGAAGCTGAAGTTGAATTTCCCAGTGTTGATAAAGCTGAATTCACATTGGACACATTCATTTAACTCTACCTGAGGGAGAGAGAGAGATCAAAGCATGATGTTGAATGAATATAAACCATGGCTTACATATGTAACATGTTAGGGATTGAATTGTGTCCCCCTAAAAGTTATATTGAAGTCCTAACCCCTGTACCCATGAATGTGGCTCTGTTTGGGCACAGAGGTTTTCTTTTGTATGTTAATGAAGTCATACCAGAGTAGGGTGGGTCCTACAGCTAATCACTTCTGAGAAGTATCCTCTAAAAAGAGTAGAACAGACAGAGACAGACACTTAAGGGGAAGACACATGTCAGGGGAGGACCTGTCTACAAACAAAGGAACATCAAGGATTGTTAGCAGACACCAGAAACAGAGAGAGGCCCACAGAAAGACTCAAGACAGGTGAGATCCTGATTTGGATTTTCAGTTTTCAGAACTGTGAGAAAACAAACTGAACAGGAAACAAATTTCATGTCCCTTAAAGCTACCCACTTGTGGTATTTTTTGTTATGGCAGCAGTAGGTGACTAAGACCTATTATGTCGGGGAAAAATATCTTTGGGGAAATTAGGATTGCAGGTGATGTTATGAGTTGAGTGTCATTAGCTTAATGCAATCAGATATTCCAGCAAGAGCTACCAAGTGCTGAGGGGCCCTCATATTTCAAAAGTAACATGGTAGTTTCATTCTTAGAACTCTCTCGGTCGTGAGACATATTTCTTATATGTTTAATGCAAGCATTCATTTCTCTACCCCCTGAAAAATAAAATACAAAATACTTCTCATCATAGGGAGCTCTGGTGGCATAGTGCCTAAGGCATCTGACTGCTCACCAGAAGGCTGGCGGTTCAAACCCACCAGCCACTCCTTGGAAGGAAGACCAGGCAATCTATTTCCATAGAGATACTACCTAGGAAACCCAAGGAGGGGTCGCTGTGAGTCAGAGTCGACTTGACGGCAGTGACTTGGGTGAGTCCTCATCATAAGCACACACATCCTGGATGGAGCCACCCCTTGGTTGCTCCTGTTCTGGTCTCCGCAGCGTTTGAAGCAGAAAGCTCCCCTAGAGAGTTCACTCCTCCCACCTGCCCCAGTCAGTGCAGAAATCCAGAGAGACAGTGTGGCTTTCTCATACTTTACCTCAAAAAAGTTGATGATATTGGTCTGGTTAGGGGTCAAGAAAGTGATTAAGCCAGTTCTGTCCTTGCACTTGATCCCCACATTCATAGTGTAGCCCTCAGCTTTGACATTTAAGGTCAGAGGTTGGGCTTTCCTTTTCACATTGCAGATTAAGTTAAAGTTCACATCTCCTTCCTGCTTAGGTGTGAAGAAAATATCAATAGGCAACCTGATTGAGGAAACAGACAGAAGATTAGTTCACAGGGTCAAACTGCTAAAACCAGCTACAATATATAGGCCCAGTGGATTAGCAGATACACTATGAGGAAAAGGCACGATAACTCCAAATTATGATAAATGTTGAAGATTTACCAGAGAAGGCCAGCCATTGCTCTGTGGATTCACAAATACAGAAGATAGCAAGGAAAAGAATACAAATACAATAGAAAATATTACAAACAGGGACTTAGAAGTCTCAAAGCTTTACCATTCATTGGAAAATGAACTGTAGGGAATAAGTAGAACAGAAATGGGAATTGTTAATATCTACATTTTAGAGTTAGAAGGGACTTTAGAAATGGAGGACTCTAGGGGAAACCGATTCTCCTGGCTGGCAGGCCTGGGACCTCTGCCATTTGGGGAAGGAACAGTCCTGGGATTTCCTCTTTCTATACCTGGACAGCGGTGGGAGCCAGCCTTCCATGGGAGATACAACTAGGCTGTTGCTAAAACCTTCCGAATACCGGGAGCTGTCCTGGAAGGCGAAATTGAAGCCCTGTTCCTCCTTGTTGATGATCTTCACGGTTTCCCTGGCTTCTCTGCCTGTGGAGGAAACAACACCCTCAGGGGAGTCCTCAGCAGTATCTCGGCAGATACCGTTCCACAGGCAAGACCAAGCCATTGTAGTAGAGGTTCCTCAACAACGTTTTTCTCTTCTTCCAGACTCCTCAGACTTTATCTGATAATCTCTTGCCCATCCCTCTGCTTTACAAATAACCTTTTCCCCACCCCCTCCTAGGGTGACTCCACATTTGGCTCCATCAATCCCTCGCTTCTGTGGGTGGCTCTCAGGAGTGTCACAGCTCTCCCAGTGTCATGACACTGTTTTCTCCCCTTGCTCCTTCAGGCCCAAGAACTGTAAAGCCTTCCTACCTTTGTTAATGCCCGGGGCTTCACCCTCTCTGGTTGGACCCTTAACTCTCCATAATCATCCCAGTATTGAACTCTTTAGAATTAGGGAAGTTTCCTGCCAGAACCCTGAGTCATACATCTCTTCCCTGACTATGTTGCTTTCTCTCACTTTCCTTGGCTATTGTAGAACATTTATTTTCCCACATAAACTTTAGAATCTTTTAATCTACTTCCCCAGAAAACCTTGTTGGGATTAAGGTTGCCATATTTAGAAAGTAATTTTAGTATAAGCATATCCCAAATACTGCATAATAATACTTATACTAAAATTTGTTGTTTATCTGAAAATTTAATTAGTCAATTGAGTGTTTTGCACTTCATTTGGTAACCCTAGTTAGGATTATAATTGGAACTTCATTAAATTTATATTTCATTTTGGGAGAATTGACAAATGTTCAGATTTTTTTTGAGGCATTTTAATAAGATTTTACAGTTTTCTTCATTATATGTATCTGTACTGGTCTTGACTGTTTTACAGCGTTGATAAGGGAGGGCCAAGAGGAACCAGTATTACTTACTTTCAAGACTTAAGCTATCATTGATATGCAAATATCATTTCTGTGGACATGGAGAGAACTCTTCTCTAGGAAGAATCCTGGTTTGGATAAGCCACTTTGGGTAGGGGTTATAAGACCACATAGGGGTCTCAATGGCTAGATTGCATGACTGCTTTCTAAGCAAGGTAGGCTGGGCTAAGTGCTTGGGCTCATTTTATTGAGAGATGTACACAACCTAAGTGCCAAAGCTTAACTGCTGGGGGCAATAAAAGATAGCAGACAGTTGGCATGGTGAGACAGGAAGGGAATCGGGCTAGCCAGGTCGAACAGGCCACTGACCCAATGCCCTTGAAATTTAAGCCTACATGCAGACCACCACATAATTCTTCCTTCTGGTGCCAGAGAACTGTTTGCGATGGCAAGCCTGGGCTTGGGTGAGTTAAGGGGCCATAATAAAAAGGCCCCATAAGCTTGACCAGTTGCAAAATGTTGATAAATCTTCCAGGCTGTTTTTCAAGTCCCTCATCAGGCACCCACTAGATGGAGAACATGTGCAGTAAAAATCAGCATGACCAACAAAGTGACCTTCCACCAGATGCAGGCGAAAGCAAAAATTTCTCAAACTTGGGTCCAGAGACATCACACATGCACAACCTGAACCTCAGAACCCCACCTACTCCATGAATAAAGATGACGCCTCCTTCTCGCCTAAAGCCCTTTAGAAACCTAGGAAATCCTTTGTTCGGTGGGAGACTGGACGCCAGCACAGGCGATAGCCCTCTCCATCTCTCCTTCAGGAGCTCTTCCCTTTCTCTTTAATGAACTTTGGCTTGTGCGGGCACTTTGCCTCTCCCATTCAATTCTTAGTTCGTAGATGGTAAGGAACTTCACTCAGGGTCCCAGGGACCCCGGTAACAATGAGCTGAAGGATAGGGGAAAAATGGAGGGAGAAGGAGGCTTCCTCCTAGGAGAGAAAGTCAGGAATTTAAAAAATATTTTACCCTGCAGTGTGCACTGTAAAATCTTTTCTCAGCTTCCCCACATGTTATTTATCTATTCTGGGTTATGCTGAAAGATTCTGACACAACTCAAATGGCTGCAGGATGAGAGTCAAGGCCACTCATGGAGGTATTCCAGATCTGGAAACAATCTCTCCATCTTTTTGTCTATCATCTCCTGACCTTCATTTCCAACCGCCCGTTTGACTCCTCACCTTGATGTCCCACCATCAACGTGACTGTCTCATACTAAATTCTCCATCTTTCTCTACAAACCAGTGACTATTTACACAAATACGACCAGCTTTCCTGGTAGATCTCCAAATCTCAGCCATTTTTTGACTCCCTTTTCTTTGGCTCTGCATTCATCCTTGCCAGGCTCTGCAGATTTTACCTCCGAAATGCTTCTTAGATCCTCACGATCTTCCTCCTACTTCAGACCCTCAGAACTCTTCTCCCAGAATGCTATAATGTCCTCTTAATTTGCCTCCCACCTGTGGTGGAGACTTTAAAGGCTCACCCACATCTTATTTTCCTCTCCTGTGTTCAACAGGCCTACAGAAGTAGGACACTTCACTACCCACCTACTATGAGTGCTTAAAGGAGCTGTTCTGGTAGTGCTGTGGTTAAAAAATTGAGATGCTAACCAATATGAGTCAGGGCCGACTCAATGGCAAATAACAACAACAACAACAACAACCAAAATGTCAGAGGTTCAAACCCACCAGCCACTCTGCAGGGGAAAAAGGTAGGGCAAACTGCTTCCATAAAGATTTACAGCCTTATGGACAGGCACATGGGGTGATATCAGGTAGATACACTACTTGGAGCCATCAATCCTGGGAGAAAGAAGGGCAGTGTTTGCACAGGGAGATACCATGGGGGGCAGGAGTGCATGGGAGGGAAGGACACAGGGAAGAGGTAACTACAGGGAGGAAGTGAACATATATTCATGTATCTATACAATGGATTACTAGAGCTGTTTTTTTTAAAAGTTCTTTCCCATGAATTGTTAATAGGATGATTAAAAGAAAAATGGAGTAAGATTAGTCTATAAAATTCATCCCAACATTTTCATTCAGTATAGAATTTTATATCTTTTTTAAAAAATAGTTAATGCTACATGTATTTATTTATCTGGCAAATGTCCATGATATTTTTAAAAGTTTAAATACTGAAGCAAATAAATGTATGTAGTATAACTTCATGTATTTATTGTTCAAAAAACTTAATAAACTTTTCCACCTACCTATGAGTATGAGAAACGTACAGAGATAATACACATTGCTTTGATGGAAAGGGAAGGATGGAATAGGGTGAGAGAGAAATTATTCAATTCTCTTTATTCAATGCCACATTGATTGACTATATTATAAAGGATATTCCTTTTATAAGGAGAAAAAATAGAATAAAGAATTAAAAAGTCCTTCAGCTTTAGCAGTCTTTTCTCCTATCTTACAAAATTGGGATTTTTCCTGTTGTTGTTGTTGTTGTTAAGTGCCGTCGAGTCGTTTCCGACTCATAGCGACCCCATGCACAGCAGAACGAAACACTGCCCGATCCCGCGCCAGCCCCACAATCCCTGCTATACTTGAGCCCATCATCGCAGCCACCGTATCAATCCATCTCCTTGAAGGCCTCCCCCTCTTTCGTCGACCCTCCACCCTACCAAGCATGACATCCTTCTCCAGGGAATGGTCCCTTCTGACAACATGACCAAAATAGGTGAGACGAAGTCTGGCCATTCTTGCTTCCAAGGAGCATTCTGGCTGTACTTCCTCCAGGACAGATCTGTTAGTTCTTTTAGCAGTCCACGGTACTTTCAGCATTCTTTGCCAGCACCACAACTCAAAAGCATCAACTCTTCTTCGGTCTTCCTTATTCATTGTCCAGCTCTCACATGCATACGAGGAGATTGGAAATATCATGGCTTGTGTCAGGCGCACCTTAGTCCTCAATGAGATATCCTTGCTCCTCAGCACTTGAAACAGTTCCTTCGTAGTTGACTTTCCCAATGCTACACGTCGTCTAATGTCCTGACTGCTGCTTCCGTCGGCATCGATTGTAGAACCAAGCAACGTGAATTCCTTGACAACCTCAATCTTCTCTCCATTTATTGTGATGCTGCTCATTGGTCCAGTTGTGAGGATTTTTGTTTTCTTTATGTTGAGATGTAATCCATACTGCAGACTGTATTCTTCAACCTTCATCAGTAGGTGCCTTAAGTCATCCTCACTTTCAGCAAGCAAAGTTGTATCGTCTGCATATCTCAGGTTGTTAATGATTCTTCCTCCAATCCTGATACCACGTTTTTCTTCATATAGTCCAGCTTCTCGGATTATTTGCTCAGCATATAGATTGAATAAGTGTGGAGAAAGAATACAACCCTGACACACTCCCTTCTTGATTTTAAACCATGTAGTGTCCCCTTGTTCTGTTCGAACGACAGCCTCCTGGTCAAGGTACAGATTCCTCATGACTTTTCCTAGTCACCTCTGATTTGAACCAGAGTGGACATCTCTGTGTATTTAATGCACACAAGGCAGCCTGGGTGGGACAAATTCTTAGGCACTCGACTATTAGCAGAAAGACTGGCAATTAGAATCCACCAAAGGTGCCTTGGAAGACAGGCCTGGCGTTCTCCTTCTCAAGGGTCACAGCCTTGAAAACACTATGAAGCAGCTGCACTCTGTACACATGGGGTCACCATGAGTCGGAACTGACTCATGTCAGTGTCGGGAGAGCAGGAACTGTGTGTTTTGTCCACTGGTGCATTCCCAGCCCACAGACAAGTACCTGGTTCATGCTAGGAGCTCCATGATATTTGCAGCAATATCTCATCACATATTCTAAGGGCACAGACAAGTAAGGATGAGGCTAACATGAGACTCTGGAAATGAACTTAGTTCTTCCAGGTGCTAAAGGAACCTGACAAGTAGGAAATTTGATTACATAATAAATAAGATCCGTATTTATTAAATTTCCTTAGGTTATTAATGTTTGGATTTAAAGGATACTTGATGGAAATTAGATTGAGAGGTAAACATTTCGCGGCTTTGTGAAAAGCAACAAAGCCCTGCCATGCTTCTGGAAGGTAGCAGGAAATGTTCTCCACCCCGCCTGCTCCCAGAGCTGACTGGTGGAGCCCCTCATGCAGGTCATGCTGACTTCAAGCACAAATTGACAGGGCAGCCTTACCAATGAGAAGACAACTGAAGTTGAGATGCGATTGGTCCAGAGAGATGAGAGGGTCAGTGGTTTTGCCTACCAGCAGGAAAGGGACTTTGATGTTATGTTCTGGGATTAAGAAAGTCCAGAACGATTCCGTGATGTCTAGATGGAAAGGCGTGAACTGGAACACAATCTAAGGAGACAATTTGGGAAAAAGTGGTAAGAGGCCCTTCTGTTTGCTCACCCTTTGTGGCCTTACAGCTCTGTGAGCACTAGGGCCATGATGGCTGGCATTACCGATTATCTCTACCCCTCGACATACAGTGTCTGTAAGGGTTTGCAGGTGTGGCTGCATCGGCAATGGCAGTATCTGACCTTTAAGGGAGTCTACCCTGCCCACAGTCTTTGCTGCCTAAGTTGCTATACTATGTGCCATGTATTTGGATGGCATGATTGTAACACAGCCATCTTGACCAAAGAGTTGGCACCTGTCATAGAGAAGGGCAATCTACATCCTTGACTACAGCCTGGCCCACAGCCCACATGGTCAGTGGGGTCAACTGGATTTCCATTTCAGAAATTTGGAATTAGAGAATCAAGTGACTGGGCCAGCTGGTATTGGAGCTGACGGTAAAAGACTCCATGAGGTTGAGTTATGGCATGCCATAAGCCCTTTGTTAAGTGAAATTACAAAGGAAAGCCCCCAAAACATTAAAATGAAAAGAGAAGGAGCCAGTAGGTAAACACAGAATGGAGTAGATAGATGAGCAGAAAGAAGTGAAGTGACCGAGAAGGGAAGCCCAAACCTCAAAGCTATCGCAGGCCCATTTTTCTCTGAGCTAACTTGAGTTGGCAACTAATCATCCTTGATTGGAAGATCAGAAGCATTCAGCTAGAATTGAACCAGACAAGTTAAAATGCACAGTCCATGCCAGTGCCATAGGGTGATGTAGGTGAGGTGTTTCAGGCTGCGTGTCATCCAAAGAGCAGCACGACCTTGGATGAATGGATGCTGCAACCTGCCCCGCCTGGAATCAGGAAGCATCTATGATCCATTTTTGGGCTGTAGGAGGCCAGATCCAAGGAGGACCGTGTCTGCAGTCCCTGGATCCTGTCATGCTCCCCGGATGGCCTGAATATTGACAGTGTGTAGAGGTCAAAAACAAGTGAAGAACTATACGTACGTTTTGTTGGTTTGTAAAGTGTTAAATATTGAGGTATGTGTAAAAATGGGGAGATTAACTTAAAAATCTGAAATTTTGGTTTCTCCCAGAAAGTTTGGGAGAGTTGGTAACCTGGGCCAACTCTCTGTTTTGAGAATTGTGCTATGGTTACCTGGCTCTGGTGCCCAGTGTTCCCTGTGGCCTGCCCATTCGTGTGACCTTCCTGAAGGCATTTTGATTTATACTGCCTTATGGGGTTTCTTTCTTTTCTTTTCTTAAATTGTGATTTGGGTGAAAATTTACAGAGCAAATTCACTTTCCATACAGCAGTTCACATACACTTTGTCTCATGACATTGACTACAATTTACCACAATGCAACAGCATATGGGTTTATTTCTGTCATCAAGATTCTCTGTAGAACTTACTAGACATGGAGCCTACATGTTTTGCCCATCAAGTTAGTATTTATTTAAGCCTGATCACATACTCAATGTCACTGTGTAAATATTTAGAACTAAGTCACAGGAAAAAACATTCCTTTTCTGTTTTGTCTTTTGGCCTGACCCAGTAAAACCACTCCTAGACCAAAAAATAATTCTTCACTTCTTGCTACTGAGTCACAGGGTCCCCAGGCACTGGTACCTGGCTCCCCTTTTCTGCTTTAATATTTGCAGGGTATTTGCACTGTATATCTGCAGGATATTTTTTAAACTGCATACACTGGAGTTCTTTGTTTCTCGATGGCCAGCCAAGAGAGCTCTGGCCTACCTCATTCATCAGGCTTGCCGACTGTGTACAGTTGTTACTCAGTAAATACTTGTCAAAGGAAGCATCCTTAGGCTATTCTCTGCATATGATCTATGGCACATTTGCTCCACAGAGAGGAACGTTTTAGACCCTGGCTTGAGTGGTCCTCATTTGTACATACCTCAGCTTTCTTTTCAGGGTGGATGGTGCCCTTTTCCGTAAGGCATGTGAAAGCTGGAGGGTTCTGGAGACTTTCAGCTTCATCAGAGATCCAGCAGAAAGAATAGGTGTTATTGGTTGGGTTCAAGATTGTGAAGGTCCTGGCCAAAGGGGAAGGAATTGACAGCAGGGAGTTAGAGAGGGGCTGAGGATTAGGCAAACGTCCTCAGAACCTGGCCCTAGAGCAGTGGGTTTTTCTGGGGTCAGAACTGTTTCAAGCTCTTTATTACTATATAAATGAAAACTCTATCTCAGCGAGGGATTCAGAGTATAGCTAGGACTCTGGCTGTGGGGTTAATGGTGGCAAGGGCACTTCCATTACAGTGCTCCTCTGTGGTCAAAGTGGTGTTCATGGATTGTACTTTTATGTCTTCTGAATCTTCACCAGGGTAAAAACCAACAAGCAAAACGGAGCTTCCTTGATTCAGCAGTTCTCTAAAGCTAAATCTCTAAAATTCACGTCTAACCCTAGGATTTCAAGCCTGCCTCCAGGAAATCAGTCTAGCTTGCATCTCTGAAGTTTTCCTCTGTGTTCCTTAGAAGGATTGACTTATATGAATCCAATCAACACAAATCTAAGCAACTCACTGGAGATGCTTCCCTCCTATGCCCACGGTGGTGAACTCAATCACTCGGGTGTTTGGATCCATGGTCCCACCACCAGGTCCTCGGAGCTCTGAGTTACACCGGTGACTGCTGATGTAATCCGAGTCTTTCAGGTCAAAATGGCAGAAAGGCAAGAAGCTTCGCCCTTTTGCTGCCAGGACTGGGCCTTGCTCTCCCGGTGGCAGGTTGGGAATCCTGGGAGAAGAAGGTTATTTTTATTTCTCACTCAGTTGCAGCTTTTGTAGTTGGTTGGATATGAGTATTAGTGCCACCAGAATGTGAGCTCCATGAGAACCGGGGTTGGGTCTGTCTCGGCCAACACCAAGACCTCAGCACCTTGGATAACGCATGGTACGTAGAAGATGCTCAGTGATCAACTACTGAAGGATTAATGCATGAATGGACTGAGTATGGTGAACCTGAATTACGGAGCCTTCTGTATCTCTAACTATGACTACAAGTTAAGTTCTTCCTCAGTGGTGAGAAAATCTTCCTGCTGTGAAATGAGCCAAGTCTTACCCTCAGGGACCCCTTACAGGCATCTGGTGGGATATGAGAACTGGCCCAGTAATACTGAAAAAGTATCCTGAGCTACTTGGAGAAGGTGAACTGGAGGCGAGCAGGCATCCAGCCCCAAGCCAGGGTGGTTCAGGTGTGGATGGGGTCCCTGTGGTATGACTGAAGGGACTCCTAAAGTTTATGATGCTTCATATAGGTCTCTGCCTAAGCCATAGTTCACAGAATTTCTCTGTACGGTGGTGGTTCTCCTTGGATCTCTCCCAGGAATAGGTACTACATCAAGTACTCTCCTTGTTCAATTGGATTAGCTTTTCTACGAGTGGGCCTGGGCATCTTGTAATCCTCACTTACTTATACATGTGGTCCCACACCACCTAATACCCTTTTTGTGCTTACGACGTGCCAGGCACTGTTCTAAGCTCTTTCCTTGCATTCATTCATTTACTCTTCACCACAAAGTGGGTATTGTTATTTCCACTTTTTATATGAGGAAACTGAGTCTCAGAGAAGGTACAAGAAAGCTTGCTCAAGTCCATGTTTGCCAAGGAGTGGAGTCCACCTGGTTTGCAGCCTGTTACTCAGAGTGAGCCTGTGTGTGGTCAGGAAGGGAGAGCTGGGCAGGGAGAGGAGTCTGGAGAAGGCTGATGAGCGTACAAAGACCACAGTCTCCTTGTTCTCCAAGGGTTTGCCCTTAAATCTTTCCAAAGGGAAGAGTGAAATTTGGGGCTGGGGTTGGGGGAAGGAGGAGTCAGGTGTTGAAAGAATGGTCAGGGGAGAGAAGAGGGGATTAGCACTGAGGGCTCTGCCTCTGCCAAGATGGGGGGTGCAGTTCTGGGGAGCACATTTTCTTACTGGCAGAAAAGGTTATTCTCGAACTCTCCAACTTCCAACGGGGAGAACTTCACTTGAAGCTTCTGACGCTTCCTGGCAGGCACGATGCCTGAGGCAGGCTCCACAGAGAAGGGTGATGGGGTGCCATCATTCCAGTGCTCCATGGCACTATCCAGAGAGCTGCCCGTGTGCAGCGTGCCCTGGCTAAGCTGATCCTTATAAGAGGAACCTGGGGGCAGAGAGAACAGAGAATGTTCCCCATTTACAGTGAAAGGGTAGGTGGGAGCCATGGAGGCAGCCCACTCACAGGTTTTCGTGGCTGTGAACCTTGTAGTGGGTGGACTTAACACGAGGCACGAGGGGTGAGGAGTCGCCTCACGGCTCTCAAAGTGACTCAGGAAACCTCTTCTTTTAATTCCATCATGTTTCCAAACTTGTTTCCTTTTGTTTTGTTTGTCCTGTGACTCAAGAGGGCAGATTAAATAGGTGTCTGTGGATCTAGTTTCTGGAGAATCGTTGCTTTATAATTTGGGGTTCATAATTTTGGTTAAAAAAGTCTTTGGGTCCCCCAAATCGCAGTAATCCTAACAATGAACAATGTATTTGCTACAAAGTGCTGGGCCCTCTTCTAAGTGCTTCATGCGTATTAACTGCCAACTTGGACATGAGTGTATTTCCCGGGGGAGAAGGTTCACGTTTTTATCAGCTTCTCCAAGGGACCTGTAACCCTCAGAAGGTTAAGACCTAAAAGAGGACATTCCTAGGGATGCTGGCCTCGTGGCGACTAGGTCTTGGCTCTGAGTGGGTGAGGCCAGCCTTAGAGTCTCTCAGGCTCAATGGGATTTGCAGGTATCATGAGACCCTGCTTTCTATGAGTGACTTAGAAGGCCGTCTGTGCAGCGCTGGCTTCTGCATGACCATGGCCCTTCTACTCATGAAGACTCAGCTCAAGCCCTTTGTTTTCCCTTTCATTGCATTTACCGTGGTTCTCTGGCATTGCAAAGCTGACAGCCTTCCCAGTCTCTTCTGAGACCCAGTTGAACTCCAGCTGCACATTTCCGGCATTAATCAGTTCAAACCTGCAAACACACCAGGGATGGACTTAAGAGATGTGCTGCAGGCGAATGCCGGCCTGCCTGCACACCATCGGCATTGTAACTTGTGTTTCTTCTTTAAGTCACTTCGTTTCTTAAAATATTTTTTAAAAGTTAACTTTATAAGCAATTTTACCTGAAAGCGTACATTTGATGTACTAGTTATATTTCTCTAAAACACACAAATCTATCTATCCATCATCCATGTATACATGTATCTATGTACATATGCATGTAAAAATATCCCAGTGTTTAGCACCTGAAGTCACCCTGTGGACAACTGTACTCCATGGCACTATGTAGTGAATGCTCAGTGGGCATCCCTGTCATCCTGGAGTCAGTATGTCCCTCTGAAAAATTCCCGAGAGGACACAAAATCCATTTTGCATGACAATACTGCCCTCAGGTGCAAATTCAGAAGCCCCTCCTTTCCTGAAATTACCTCCCCCCAGAAGCAAGGTCCTGGTGATTAGAAGGTCTGACCCCTGGCTGAGAACCAGATGTGGATGTTGGTTGCTTTGAACTCAAAGGCTGAATCGATGACCCTTTCTTGGCCTCAAGTCTCCCTGCTCTAAGCAAGAACTGGGAGAGGGAAGCTTTATCTGGAATTTGAAGAAAATGAGTGAGTGCCCATGTTCTTCCTGCTTTAGTGGAGCGGTGCGAGTTGAGAGCTTGGTGAGGAGTAGGTCTGGAATGGGGGTGGGAGTTAGTGTTCCATGGTCCAATCCATGGAAACCATGTACGGATGCCTGAAATCAAGTGCTTCCTCCGTGGGGGCTTGTGATTATTTTGTGGGTTTATGAGCACTGATCTTTATCCTAGGGAAGAGAAAAATTACAGAAAGTGGAAAAATCTCAGCACACAGAGGATTTTTCATAAAAGGAATTCTTTGTTAAGTTAGAAGTTGACAAACGTTTTTGTAAAGGGCCCAAACCAAACCAAACCGAACTCACTGCTACCAGGTCAATTCTGACTCATAGCAACCTCCTTTGGGTCTCTGAGGCAGGAAATCTGTATGGAAGCAGATTGCCAGTCTTTCTTCCACGGAATGGCTGGTGGGTTTGAACCACCAACCTTCTGGTTAGCAGTCACATCCTTTAGGTACTGCACCATCAGAGCTCCTTTTATAAAGGGCCAGAGATGAAATATTTTTTGGCTTTGTGGGCTATACAGTCTCTAGCAACTACTCAACTTTGCTGTTGTAGCATGAAAGCAACCGTAGGTGATACAGAACCAAATGGGCAGCTGTGTTCCAAGAACACTTGACTTCTAACAACAGGGTGCCTGAATTTGGCCCGTGGCCATCATTAGTCAGCTTCTCCCTCACGTGAAATGTCTATTAGCAGAAGATCTTACCTCCTGCCTTACATCTTTCGGTTCTTTAATACTTACAGAGGATATTTAAAGTACTTTCAACAAATGCAAAATCTGTCAAAAAGGTTAATAACTAATGACAATTTTACAAAATAGAAACAGCAGTAGTTTACTGTGTTTTCTTTGTAATTCTCAAAAATATTTATCAGCATCTTCTTTTTATGCTTTTTTTTACACATCCCCTCTTTCTTTCTCTTACTTCTTCATCTGGAGACCTCTTACTTGTCTCCTGAACTTCAGCTTGGGCACCAGCTTGTCTGGAAAGCCCTCGCCGACAGTCTTTCTCTCCCATGTCTTGGTTTGTTTTAGGTCCTCTTTTGCTGTACGCACAGGACACCACACTGCAACCACTGTTCATCCCACTTTTACCTATCCCTCCCACCTTGTCCCTAGACTATGAACTCCTGGAGGGCAAGGCTCGTGCCTTCTTTGTATTCCTGCATCTGAGTGTGGATGAAGGGGTAACATAACCCTTTCTGTTTCTCAAAGACAAATCTGACCTTCAATTAACTTCGTATCTCTGTTCCTCTGGAAACCTGATTAGCGAGGAATGTCAGCTGCATTTTTAGGCAACACTGCTGACAGCAAAAATGATCCCTGATGGTAAATCACATTTGGATTGGGAGAATCTATGAGTACCAGGAAGGAAACCACAGCTTTGAGGTTCTTTGACTATAGTGTAGAGTCTCATAACTGGGCATGGCCCCTGAGGGAACCCTTGGAGTCATGTCTATGGGGTAGTTATGAGAAATGTTAGCTTCTGTTGGGCATGGTGCTTCTAAACCAAGGTGGACTTCATACCCACTAGGGTAGATACAGCTCTGGTAGCATAGTGGCTAGTCCGGTTTGACTCGATGGCACATAACAACAACAACAAGGGTAGATATTGTCTGAGTTGTCTCCTGGGAGGGTGACAATGACAACAGTGCCTGGGTGGCTGTCTGGATGCTGCAAGAATTATTTCCACTAAAGAGGACTGCCTGATGTAACATCCTGATAGGCTTTGTTTTCTGGCCTATATCTTGATGTCAAGTGTGATCTTCAACAGCTTTGTAAGTCTGAAGGTTTCGTTGGACCCAAAAAGATCTCCAGAAGGTGCTACACTGATCTGATGCTTGGTATATGCTGTAGTAGACACTGAGCACATGTTTGATGAATGAGGGAATGAATGACAGAATAAAAGAACTTCTCTAATGAGTGTTCTGAGGTTTCTGATGACTCACTCAAATACTCGGGTCTGGTAAACCAGCGTATCCTTAAAGCGCACATCACTCGTGGGGCACCGGTATGAAGCAAAATCCACATTGGCGCTGATCTGTAGGTGCAGTTCTCGGTAGATTTCTTCCAGTACGGTGTGGGCAGGCTCAGGATCTGTCTCTATCACCTGTAACAAAGGCAACCAAGTCCTCAGTGGTAAAGAGTCAGCCCCCTTACAGGAATAAAACCCCTCCCCCAAAAAACAGAAAAAACAAACTCACTGCCATGGAGTTGGAGCTGACTCACAGTGACCCCTCCTTGGGTTTCCAAGGCGGTATCACTACGGAAGTAGATTGCCCAACCTTCCTTCCGAGGAGTGGCAGGTGGGTTTGAAACACCAGCTTTCTGGTTAGCAGTCAAGTGCCTAAGGCATTACATCACAAGAGCTCCTCTCACAGGAATAATGAGGGGGAAAACACGGTGCTTTATTCTACCCATGCAAACTAACACCAATCCAGAAGAAATGATAAAGGGAAACCTAAATTATCTATAGAATGGAAAAGGAGGAAATTAAATAACAAGTGACAGAATATTAGGACTGCACTGGCATGAGTTCTGGAATCAGGTGGATTCTAATAGAGGCAAAAGGAAGGAAATCATAAACACAGGAATAGAAATTAAAGCTTTAGAAAGCAAACACAACACAGAGACACTGGCAAAGCCAAAAGTGATTCATCTGAACAAAAAATATTAAAAACTTTTGGTGAGACTGAGCAAAAAAAAAAAAAAAAAAAGAAAGAAAACACAAATAATCAATATCAGGAATATGAATGGGGATATAACCCAAGATCATACAGTTCAAACAGATTAAAAGAAAACTTTATGAACAATTTTACAAAAGTACGTATGAAAATTTTGTAGAAAGACAAATGCCTAGAAAAAACAATTTAATAAAGTTGACTCAAGAAGAAATAAAAAACTGAAATGTCCTATAACTGTTAAAGAAACTGAATACAGGCATAATTTGTTTCATTATGCTTTGCAGATACTGTTTTTTTACTGAAGGTGTGTGGCAACCCTGCATCGAGCAAGTCTATTGGCCTTATTTTTCCAAAGAATGTGCTCACTTCATGTCTCTGTGTCACATTTTGGTAATTCTCACAATATTTCAAAACTTTTTCACAATGCTATTGCACACTTTGCAGATTACGATATAGTGTAAACATAACTTTTATATGCACTAGAAACCCTAAAATTAGTGTGTGTTGCTTTATTGTGATATTCCTTTTATTTCAGTGGTCTAGAACTGCACCTGCAGTATCTCTGAGGTATGCCTTCACTCACTGCCACTGAGTCAATTCCGACTCATGGTGACCCCCACTGGGTTCCTGAGGCTGTAAATCTTTGTGGAAGTAGATCTCCCCCTCTTCCTTCCATGGAGCGGCTGGTGGGTTTGAACTGCTGACCTTCTGGTTAGCAGCCAGATGCCTTAGCCACTATGCCACCAGAGCTCCTTGAGGTATGCCTTTAGTAGTAAATAAATCTAAAAGAAAACTTAAATAAATGTACAAATAAAACCTAATAGTGGACCAGGTTTGCTGGTCTGATAGAGCCTGATGGAACCACTGAGACTATGGCCCCTAGCTGCCCTTCAGGTCTGAAATTGAACCCACTCCTGTGGCTTCCAGTCAAACAAAAGACAGGCACATAAGCTGAACATTTACATTAGGTAGATGCACTCCTTGGAAAGATCAATCATGGGAGAATAGAAGGGCTGTGTATGCACAGGGAGAGAGCTCAGGAGGCATGAGGGCATGGCAGGGAAGGACATAGGGAGAGGTAACTATGGGGAGGAAGTGGGAGGGGAGCTATTGCATTGTGGGAAATTACAGTCAATGTCATAAGACAAAGTGTATGTGAGCTGCTGAATGGAAAGTGAATTTGCTCTGTAAACATTCACCCAAATCACAATTAAAAAACCCCAAAAACCTATTGATGGAAAAGACAAGTTAATATTACAAAAATATCAATTCATTGGACTCCAGACTTTGGAGGGTAGACGAACCTCTGAAACAATTGTCCCGGACTATTAAACCAAAAATATCCCCTGAAGTCTTCTTAAAACCAAATAATGGTTTAGCTAACTAGTTAAAGAAGTCCTCCTTGAGCATTATGCCTTTTTAAGAACTCCCTATGTGGGATCAAACGGACAACAGCAACTCGAAAGTTTAGGGGAGGAACAACTTGGAAAAGGAGGGTGAGAATGGCTGCACAACTTGAAGAACGCAATCGGTGTCACTGAATGGTACATGAAGAAACTGTTGAATCAGTGTTTGCTGTGTATATTCTCAACAACAACAAAATAAATGAAATGTAGGGGGAAAAAAAAAGGAATTGGCCAATAAGCACATAAAAAGATGCTCAACATCATTAGTCATTAGGAAAAATACAAATCAAAACCACAATGAGATACCACATCACCTCTACTGGAATGGCTATTATTAAAAAAAAGGAAAATAACAAGTGTTGGCGAGATGTGGAAAAGTTGGAGCCTCTGTGCATCTGTCAGTGGAGACTGGCATGTTGCTAGGATGCGGAACACGTTTCCGGTGAGCTTCTAGGCTAAGACAGACTAGAAAGAAATGCCTGCAGATGTACTTCTGGAAACCAGCCAATCACAACCAATCCTGGGCAGGGCACAGGACCAGGAAGCATTTTAGTCTGCTCTGCACGTGGTCACCATGTGTCAGCAACCAACTCAAGGCAGCTACCAATAATCCTAGACATGTGCTCACCCCTGGATCGCTTTAATATAATCAGCACCCATAATACAATTAGCATATAATTGAATATAGTTGCTCATTCAGGAAAAAAAAAAAAAGTCAATTCTTCCTAAACTGATATATACACACAAACCAATTCCAGTCAAGTTTCCATCAGGGTTTTCATGGTACTTGGTAAATACATACCAGAATTACATTCAAAAGTAAAGGGCTAATGATAACCAAGACACTTCTGACGAAAACAGGGAAGAGGGACTTTCCTTCCAGATATCAGGTATGGTGACAAAGCTATAAAAATTAAAAGAGTATAAACTTAGCATAGAGATAGACCAGTTGACAATGAAATAAAATAGAGAGATCAGACACAGCCTAGGCATATATAATATATATATATAAGATAATGGAGTCCTGCAGGTCATGAGGAAACAGAAAGGATAAACAAAGGGAGTTTCCAAGATTAGTTATATAGATGGAAAGAAAGAAAATTGGATTCTTGCCTCACACCATATGGAAAATCCAGGTAGGTCAAGGACTTAAATACCAAAATTACAGCTCTTCAAGTTTTTAAATTTTTTAATAGTGGAATATCTTTATGATATGATAAAGAAAGGTTTTTTAAAAATAAGACAGAAAAAGTGATAAATACAAAATAAAAGATCGATAAATTAGCCTAAATTAAAATAAAGAATATGTTTTGTTCATCAAAAGAAATGTTAAAGAAAACAAAAAGATAAGGTATAAACTGGGTGAGGATATTTACCAAAAAATGATACAAACAGAAGATTTTATCAAATATAAAATAACTCACACAAAGGACGACCATCATAACTGAAAAATGGGCAAAATACATGAAAAGGAATTCACAGAAGAGAGAACTTTCATGGTCAATAACAACATGTTCAACCTCAGTGATCAAAGAAATGCAAATAAGTCCATAAAGAGACACCATTTCACATTCACTCAAATGACAAAAATCAAGAAGTGTGATACTGCCAAGTGCTGGAGACGACGTGGATCAATAAGAGTTCTTTGCAAGTGGGACTTTAAATTGGTTCAGCCACTTTGGAAAACACTTGGGCATTATCCTGAAAAGTTGTACATTCACATTCATTAGTTATACTTCTAAGAATATAACCTCCTGTAATATACACTACACGACATGAACAAGAATGCTCATAGCAACACTGTCCACAATAGCAAAATCCAAAATAATTTCCAAAAGAAAAATGGTAACAATAGAATTTTATATAGCAGGGAAGATGGATGAACTATAAACACATGAGCAATATGGATGATCACATGCAATAATCTTTTTTTTTTTAAATGAAGTTAAAAATAACTACAACTAAACAACATACCTTCTCAGAACACACAGGTGAAACAAACAAAGAAAGGAATGAGTGAGACAGGATTCAGGCTCATGGTTGCAGCTAAGCGGGAAGCAGGGGGATGGGATGCGTGGAACCACATCAGCAGTCAGTGTTCTACTTCCTGTGTGGGGTATGGTTTGTCTTTGTCATGTTGTTGTCATGTGCCGTCAATTCGGCCCTGACTTATAGTGACCCCTCCTTGGGTTTCCCAGGCAGTATCACTACGGAAGTAGATTGCCCAATCTTCCTTCCGAGGAGTGGCTGGTGGGTTTGAACCGCCAGCCTTCTGGTTAGCAGTCAAGTGCCTTAGGCACTATGCTACTACATTACTGAAAAAAAAAAAAAAAACTAACCAAGGAATAAATAAAAGAGGGGCATGCATGTATGCAACAAAAATGATATCTTGTCATGAACCAAAGATTACAATTAGTCACATTCTGGACACCTGAGGGACAAGGAAACAACAAAAAGATCAGCCAGACCATTCGTAAAGAATCAGTTTTGGGGGGACTTGCTTAACCAGACATCAAGACTTAAGCTAAGGCTTTGGCAATGAAGGTGTGTGATATTTGTGCTACGAGTGGTATGAATGAGAGGTAGCAAGCTTGAAAATTCAGTTTGTCACTTTTGAAACTAAAGTGAAGTAGAACAGGAGCCTTTTTTTTCTTTCTATTTTTTCCATAAAAGAAGGAAATGAGGAGAAATTGAACTTGGAACCAGTAAGCATTCAACCAACGTTAGCCTGGTCAGACCCGTGCTCTGTGATCCCACTCACCTTTTTTTTTGTGCTCAAAGTCCCAGGAACGTTCCTGAACATGTCCACCCACTTGACGGTGCGCATGCGGTCGTCCCAGTCGGGGACCTGGTCTGTGGGGAGCTGAAAGGCGATCCTGGAGAGCTTGCACTTGACCCCCATCTTCTTCAGGGTGATGGGCAAGTCCGACTTCAGGGTCACCACTATGTCCTTGGCACATCCAGGATGTAGGTGGCCCAGCTGAGGAAGAGCCTGCTATTAATATTCTTGGGGAATTCAACCTTGAAAACTCTTGATACCTGGTGACAGTCTAGAGAAGGGGTGGAAGCCAAAAGCCTTGGCAAAAATGTATCATTCGAGGCTGTATGTGTAGATTGACTGAAATGTGTTCAAGAGGTTCTCAGATTGAAATACAATCACGGTAACAAAAACTAACATGTATCAAACTGATGTTCACTTCTGACACTACTGTCAGCCTTTACACTGTGAATCTCTACAACCCTATGCAATATGGACAATTATCACCTGCATTTTACAGATAAGGAAACTGGACACAGAGATTAAGTAAGTTGCTGAAGATTATACCATTGGTATTAGAAGAACTAGGGGACCCACAGCTCCAGATGCTGCCCTCTTAACCACTTTGCACTTTTAAATCAATACAATCTGGACAATTATGGATGGAGGAACCCAGGATGGCAGTGGTTTTCAAACTGTGGTCCAGTCTGGGCACTCCTGGGATCTCCAAGTCCTTTTCAGGGGCCCCAAGAAGTCAAAACCATGTTTATAGCAATGCTAAGGCATCATGTGATTTTTCACACGTTTTCTCAAAGTATACAATGGACACCTCCAGAGGTTCCATGACATAATGCTACTGCAACAGAAGCAGAGAGCAGAATCCATCGCCTTCCATTAAGCTAAACATTAGAGAGATTTGCTGATTTGCAAAATGATGTTATTTTAGGGGCAGGCGTAGAAGGGGAGTTGTTGCTTTGGAGTAAATTGTAGTCAATGTCATGAGACAAAGTATATGTGAGCTGCTGTATGGAAAGTGAATTTGATCTGTAAACTTTCACCCAAATCACAATTAAAAAAGAGAGAGAGAAAGAAATGTCATAAGACCAAAAAAAAGGTTGTTGTTGTTGTTGTTGTTGTTGTTGTTATGTGCCGTCGAGTCGGCCCCGACTCATAGCGACCCCTCCTTGGGTTTCCGAGGCAGTATCACTACGGAAGTAGGATTGCCCAACCTTCCTTCCGAGGAGTGGCTGGTGGGTTTGAACCGCCAGCCGTCTGGTTAGCAGGCAAGTGTCTTAGCCACTATGCTACCAGAGCTCAAAAAAATTACTTGAAAGATTGGATTAATAAAATCATTCACACTGTAAAACAAATGTCATTTTTCTCACTAGATGATTTGTTTTCTTTTGGAAAATACACCTATTTTCATGAAAATATGGTATTTATATTAACAAGTAATGGGTTTAGTATTGTGTTTTTAAATAAATAAATATTTTTAAACATTCTCAGTTTTAATTTCTCATGTGGTAAATATTCATTTAGTATGTATGAACACACACACACACATATATCTATATATACACCAAATGTATGAAAGTCATAATTATCATGCTTCTGATTGTTAAAACAAACCTCTCTGAAAAGTGAGCAGAGAACAATGCCTAGCACTTCCCAAGGCCATTAGTACACACGTGTGCATGTACATATATGTAAGCAGGTATATGTGTTCAGGTGTGTGTGCAGACATGTGTAAATGGACTTTAAGAAGCTTATCTCTTCCTTCTTCAACTAACACTTTGCTAATAAAGATAATGCTCAAATTAGATTACCCTATTAGAGTATACTGTCTGTTTCCTCATCTGCAAAATGCAGATAATAATTGTACTCACCTCATAGGTTGTTGAGAGGATTAAATGAATTAATCCATGTAAAAGTCTTGGAACTACCTCTGGCATAGAGCAAGCACTTAATTCACACTAGCTATGACTCAGGGTTAGATTCGGAACTGTCAGGAGAATTAAAAATGAACTTTGCATTCCTTCTGGGAAGCAAAACTTCTTCCTGACAGCAGCACTCAAAGATTTAAAGGTGACAAAAGTAAGGTTCCTAAACCTGTGTTCTGCCCTGGAGTCCTACACTTGAGCAGACTTGGTAACTGTGTATAAGTCAAGCAGAAGGCTGTGAGCACTAGTGTCCTGGGAAATCAGAAGCGAAATGTCTAGAAAAGCAACTGATGACCAGAGGCTAGGATCTGCTACAATGCTGTCCTGGGCCTTGTTCAACATGGAGTTCCAGGGAGTAATCTAAAACACTCGGGCTGTGTGGTGCTAAAAGAGGAAGTTAGAAAAGGGGCTTTGGAGGTAAATAAGATTGGGAAATTCCAGGTAAAACAAAGTCGACTGGGTTTCAGTGTGCTCAAGAGCCCTCAGAACCTCTAAGAGAAAGATGTAACTTGCAAGGTTTTCGAAACCCTGGTCTTCCACAGAAAGTACCACCCCCTTTATAGCTTTTGGTCAACTACTTTTGTAGGACTAACGTTCTGAAGAACACACACGTAGGCAGCACAGGTTTACACTCTGGGGTAGGAAGACTGGGACCTGTATTTGTCCATGTAAGCCTTCCCAGAACTCCTAAACATCTACCCGGCAATAGTCTTGCAGACTTCATTCTCTGCTCTTCCCCTCTTAGGCCAAGGGGACACAAGCAGTGTTCCCCAGCACCAAGTCTGTGGGAGGGATAGGGTCTCGGTTGTCTCCCAGCCTAGGGAAGCAGACCCTGCATCCGTGGGAACAGGCTGACAATCAGATTAGGGCTGGTCAGGCTTCAGAGAATCTGGAAAACAGTGAGTGGCTTTCACTTACCTGTGGGGAGAAAGAAAGTGTGGCTAAAACGGGCCATTCGAACCGTATCACAGTCACTTGGCTGTGGTTAGTGATCGTGAAGCTCACGTTATAGCTGTTGCCAATGTGGCAGTCCCCAAACTGGATGTGGTCCACCAGAGCAGCTATGGGACAGAAGCAGAAAGCCAGTGAGTCCTCCCTGGTCCCCGCCCCCCCCCCCCAGCACTGTCTGCTGTGAGGAGGCAGCACCTGGTAGGCACTATGCCTCATCCTCATGCAATCCTTCCGTCCCAGGACAGCTGTATTTGAAAACATGGAGCCCCTAAACAGCAAGACTATGCCCTCACCCCAGAGGCATCAACCTGCCCATCCATTCATCCATCCTCCATCCACAGATGGCCCCTACCTCCATTTGTATGAGAAAACAAATGCTGCCTACTTCATTTGTTTGGCAAGACAACACTATTAAGGGTTAATGCTACCAGATAAAAATACAAGATCCCCAGTTACAATTGAGTATAAGATAAACAACAGATAAGTTTTGAGTATAGGTATGTCCCCAAATATTGCACAAGATATATTTATACTAAAAATGTATTCGCTGTTTATCAGAAATTCAAATCTATTCTTATCTGCTAAATCTGGTGGCCATATTATAGGGGTGAAATCAGATTTCGGAACTAGGCTTCACCATTCACTCCTGCATGGCCCCTGACAAAAGAGATGTCACCCTGTAGCAGGAAATGGGTAAAATACTAAATATGTAAGGAGCCTCAAGTTTAACTCTTGCATATTGCCTGACGCTATAATCCCTGACTGCAATTAAGCTCCTAGAAATACTGTCGGACTGTATTTATAACTCACTATGTAACAATTAGCCACACATTTGGGTTTTTAACAAATGTTTTTCAATAATCATGATGAAGTAGGTTCTTTTCCCATCCCAAAGAACACAATCCACCCAGTGACGCACTGGCTGAACAGCACTCTGTAAGCACTAATGTGGACACGCATCATCTGTGGACCTTGGTAAAACGCGGACTGATTCAGCAGCTGACGTGGGGCCTGAAATCCCAACTTCTAAAAAGCTCTCAAAGGAACTCTGGCTGTGTAGCAGTTAAGGCATTTGGTTGCTAACCAAAAGGTTGGTGGTTTGAACCCATTGTCTACTCTGCAGAAGAAAGGTGAGGCAGTCTGCTTCTATACAGGTTTACAGCTTTGGAAACCAAATGCAGGTCGCTATGAGTTGGAATCGACTTGATGGCAGTGAGTTTGGTTTGGAGTTTGAACAAGCTCCCAAGGAGCCCTGGGGGTGCAGTGGTTAAGGACTCATCTGTTATTAACCAAAAGGTTGGCAGTTTGAACCCACTAGCTACTCTGAAGGAGAAAGATTTAACAGTCTGCTCCTGTAAAGACTACAGCTTTGGAAACCCTATGGGACAACTCTACCCTGTCCTACAGGGCTGCTATTAGTTGAAATTGATCCAGCAGCATTTTTTTTTTTTTTTTAACCAGCTCCCAGGAGATGCAGATGTTATGGGTCCTTGTAAGCTGAACTTGAATGTCTATTAAACTATACCACCTTAAGGACAGGGACTGTTTCTTATTAGTCTTTGCAAGTCTAGGGCTTAGTGCAGTGCTTGGCATGTGCACAATGAACGTTCAATATGCATTTATTAAGCACATGAATAAATGGGCAAATGAATGTCGTGACTGTGCCAGGCATGATGGAGCACACGGTGATGAAGGGGAGATTCATCCCTAAGTTCCCTGGAAGCCAGCCAGTCTACTCTCAGACTTCACTCTCCTTTTGCAATGACTCGAGAGCCAACGGTTGTTGACACCTGACTGCCACTTCTCGCACCTGCTACCATGTCTTCCATCATATTTTCCTCAGAGATCTCGGTGATCTCAGTGACACCTGAGGCCTCCTGGCTGGTGGAAGGCACCAGCCCGTGGATGTTGTCCAAGGTGATGTCATCCTCATAGCCTTCTCCCACCAAGTGGATGATGGTCTCCTCGTATTGATTGTTGACCACTGACAAGTGGATGGTGCCTGCCATCCTCCCAACCTTCTGGGAGTGGAAAAGCACGTCAAATTCAGCTGTCTCTCCAGGAGAGACAAGGAGGGAGGCTGTGTGAGCTTTCTTTGCTGCAATGAAAAAAAAAATGATTGAGAAGCAGATTAAAAAAAGATACATCAATAAAGGGCCTGGCTCAGGGGACAGCAGCCCTCCCACAGGACCAAGCCTTTGCTACAGAGGCCACTGGTGATAAGAGTGGGTATCTGACCCTGGCTGGTCATGACTAATCCCATGAAAAACCAGCTGAGATCCACACTGTCCTCCAGAAGGTAACCTCTCTCTCCACTCACCTTTTTCATTTGGTTTGTTTTCCTCTGAAATATACAAGTAGGAGGTAGTGGGCCTTCCTTTCAGGGAGAAGACTCCTAGTTGGTCCTGCAGGTCCACATGCAGCTGGCAGAGGGAAAGCAGGAAGGAGCATGAGGTGCACAGCCTGGGCCCCGGTTTCAGTCTGAAGTGAGACACTACACTGGCCAGTACCCAAAAAAGTAATCATGGTGAATGCTCACTTTTTTTTTAAGTTTCTTACTAAGAGAGACAAAGAATAAATGTATGACCTGAAGAGGGCAGAAGAAAATTGAGTCAGGTTAACCCTTGCTAGCCATCCAGGTGAGGAACTGGTGGCCCAGAGCCTAAAAGTGCCTTTCTAGGCCACACAGCTAACTAGTGTCAAAGTGGGGTTTCCAAGGCCTCTGTTATGGACAAAGGCAGATGCAAATAGACGCTGGATAATAAAACGGAATTGAATACTCATAATTCTATGAGGACCTGCGTGAATGTGAGTTCCCAAAACCCAATGAAAGCCCACACCTTCTGGGCTCTAAACATTAGTTGTGTGACAGTGTAATGCTGAGCATACTAACCGAGAGGAAAACAAAACCGTGCATGTGACCAACTTGGAGAAAAGGGGCTGTTCCTGGGTCATTGGAAGGAAGGTAAGACTAAAGCTCGTGATCTGACTTTAGGTGTGAGGAAATCAGCCGACATCTTTAAAAGACAGTAATGCTGGCATTATCATGAATTAGATTCAATAACATAAAGGTGAGGGATGAGGAGTAAGGAAGAAAGAGTGACATCACAAAGAAGTCTTCTGAGATTTTTAAAAAAGTCATTATATATTTAGAAATAACCTTAATAAAAGAAACTATGTGGAGAAATTACATGAAAAAAATTGATATAACGGAAGATGTAAATAATTGAGTGAAAATCCTAAGTATTACTCCCACTGGAGGGCCTAGATGAGGCGCTCTTGTGGTATAGTGGGTAAGACGTGGTTGCTAACTGAAAGGTCTGTGGTTCAAACCCACCAGCTGCTCTGTGGGAGGAAGAGGAGCCAATCTCCTTCCATAAAGATTTACAGCCTTGGGAACCCAATGGGAGTCTCTATGAGTCAGAATTGACTTGATGGCAGTGGGTTTGGTTTAATTTTGGAGGGCCTAGATACTCTAAAACAAGAAAGTCTTCCCAAATAATTCACAGGCTTCCCAATAGTATTTATTTATTTATTTT